TTACATTTGCAGGAGATAATGCTGCCTGCTTCTTGTTTACGTCATCTGAAAGTGAGAACAGGCATTCACATGGCACTGTTGTAGCCAACGTCACAAGAGATTTACGTGCCAAGTACCCCAAAAGTTTCATATGTCCCTTCATGCTTCATCCATCATTCCAGAGGATATGCGTCCATGATGACGACTGGTTCTGCTCGATAACGATCCAAAGCAGTACTGATAGACGCATGTTCATTTTCATCATTTGAGTCAGATGCCACTAGCAGAAGGTTGATTTTTCTTTTTTGGTGGTTCGGGTTCTGTAGTTTCCACATCACAGTGCTGCTCTTTTAAGACTTCTGAAATCATGCTTCACACCTAGTCCCTCTCAGATTTTGGAAGGCACTTCAGATTCTTAAACCTTGGGTGGATATGCCATAGCTATCTTTAGAAATCTCACATTGGTACCTTCTTTGCGTTTCGTCAAATCTGCGTGAACGTGTTCTTAAAATGAACATGTGCTGTGTCATCATCCGAGACTGCTAAAACTCAAAATATATGGCAGAATGAGGGTAAAACAGAGCAGGAGACACACAATTCTCCGACAAGGAGTTCAATCACAAATTTAATTAGCACATTTTTTTTTGAATGAGCATCATCATCAGCATGAAGCATGTCCTCTGGAATGGTGGCTGAAGCACGAAGGGGCATACGAATGTTGACCATATCTGGCACGTAAATACCTTGCAATGCTGGCTACGAAAGTGCCATGTGAATGCCTGTTCTCACTTTCAGGTGACATGGTAAATAATAAGCAGGCAGCATTATGTCCCGTAAATGTAAATAAGCTTGTCTTCACAATTGACTGAACAAGTAGTAGTTCTAGGTGGACTTGTAGGCGCTAAAGTTTTACATTGTTTAGTTTTTGAGTGCAGTTATGTAACCAAAAAAACCCCAAAAACCTACATTTGTAAGTTGCACTTTCACAATAAAGAGATTGCACTATAGTACTTGTATGAGCTGAACTGAAAAATACTATTTCTTTTATAATTTTTAGAGTACAAATATTAATCAAAAATAACAAAGTCAGCACTATACACTTTGTATTCTGTGTTGTAATTAAAATCTATATATTTGAAAATGTAGAAAAACATCCAAAAATATTTAATAAATTTCACTTGGTATTCTATTGCTTAACAGTGCGATTAAAACTGTAATTAATCAAGATTAATTTTTTTGATCGATTAATTTTTTTGAGTTAATCGCGTGAGTTACCTGTGATTAATCAACAGCCCTATTATTTATATACGACAATTTCACAATAAGAGCCCAACTTGCTGAATAAAAAATAAAACTGATTATTTCCCATGTTTAAAAACAGAGTTAATTTCAAGAATTCTTCAGACAGACATTGTGGCCAAATTGCATCCTTGAATGTATTTATGGCCACTCAGTGAAAATCATGGGAACCATATATGAACATCCATGGGCTGAATTTGGCTTGTGTACAGCTATGTAGTCAGAACTTGTCTGCATCATACATCACAATACAGTTTAAGTGGTGACAGATACATGGCAATATTAATATTTATAATTAAAAGTCTGAATAATACATTAATTTACTTCTGAGTAGGATTTCTCCAAAAAGAATACGACAGCCTCCTTATTTGTATAAGTAGGGGCATAGCGAGCAGATCGAGGGACGTGATCGTTCCCCTCTATTCGACATTGGTGAGGCCTCATCTGGAGTAGTGTGTCCAGTTTTGGGCCCCACACTTCAAGAAGGATGTGGATAAATTGGAGAGAGTCCAGCGAAGGGCAACAAAAATGATTAGGGGTCTGGAACACATGACTTATGAGGAGAGGCTGAGGGAGCTGGGATTGTTTAGCCTGCAGAAGAGAAGAATGAGGGGGGATTTGATAGCTGCTTTCAACTACCTGAAAGGGGATTCCAAAGAGGATGGCTCTAGACTGTTCTCAATGGTAGCAGATGACAGAACGAGGAGTAATGGTCTCAAGTTGCAGTGGGGCAGGTTTAGATTGGATATTAGGAAAAACTTTTTCACTAAGAGGGTGGTGAAACACTGGAATGCGTTACCTAGGGAGGTGGTAGAATCTCCTTCCTTAGAGGTTTTTAAGGTCAGGCTTGACAAAGCCCTGGCTGGGATGATTTAACTGGGAATTGGTCCTGCTTCGAGCAGGGGGTTGGACTAGATGACCTTCAGGGGTCCCTTCCAACCCTGATATTCTATGATTCTATGATTTTCTTCTAATAGGTTTGGGCAGAGTCGTCCCTTGGGTACGGTGAATCGGGGTGACTGCCTCGGGTCCTGCACTTTGGGGGGCCCCGCGCGCTTGGATGAAATCATGAGGAGGCGGATGGGGAGGTGAGGTGGGAGTCGGAGGGCGACCGGGGTGAGGAGGCTAACGGGTTGGTGAGTGGCAGGCAGTGGGGGTGACGAGGATCCCCCCCACCAGAACCTACTCCATCCCCCAGCGCCTCCTGCTTGCCAGCGGGCTCACCGATTAGCACCTCCCCCTCTCTCTCAGCACCTACCACGGATCAGATGTTTCGCGGCTTCAGGAGGTACTGTGGGAGGGGAGAGGAGTGAGGGCGCAACACGCTCGTGGGAGCGGGCAGAACTGGCAGGGAAGAGGTGAGGCGGGAAAAGGCGGGGTGGGGTCTGGCTGGAGCCAGGGGGAGGACCGCCCGGCAGATTAGAAACTCGGTGCCTATTTCCCAGGTCCTGCACCCCCCTAGAGATAGCCCTGGGTTTGGGGACAGGATAATAAGAGATAAATAGGTAATTTAAAGTTTTTAAATTATACAGTTCCAGCACTAGAAATAATTTGGGGGTGGGGGAGAGAGAATAAAAACAACATACGGTAAGTCTAATGAAAAGAAAATGGTACTTTCAATGAAAATAATCCTATAAAGTTATAGGAAGATGTGTGCCAGAGAAAGAGTTATTTAATTTTCATTTTTCAGATTCTGATATAGATAAGAAAGATTTGTAAATGTGTGTGGATCCCTCCAAGCAGTTCTACCTCTGAATTTTGGATTGTGGTAAACATGCTACATATTTTCATAAATTACTTTAGATACACCAAACATTCAGGTACTGTGGAGTCCTCAGGTAGGTGTTGTAGATGCTTTTGCTTATAAATTAACAGGCTACAGTACTTACAACATATTAAAGACCATTGCCCAGAAAAAGCACAAAACAATAAAAGTCAGATGGAGGATAGGTTTTTTCCTTCCAACCATTAGAACACAATTCTAGAAAACATGGCACAGTGTGGCATTTCATGCATATATATACAGCAACATATTAAACACAAGTAACAGACTGAAATGGGAAAAACATTTTTACCAAAACCATTTGCAAAGGTCAGTATATCTGTTACAGTTCTATCAAGTTTATATCATCTCCATCTCAGGTACTAGATTTCAGAGGAACAGCCGTGTTAGTCTGTATTCGCAAAAAGAAAAGGAGTACTTGTGGCACCTTAGAGACTAACCAATTTATTTGAGCATGAGCTTTCGTGAGCTACAGCTCACTTCATCAGATGTTTACCGTGGAAACTGCAGCAGACTTTATATACACACAGAAATCATGAAACAATACCTCCTCCCACCCCACTGTCCTGCTGGTAATAGCTTATCTAAAGTGATCAACAGGTGGGCCATCTTAAGTTCAATAAGAGTGTCTTAACTTAACATGTACAGTTTGCACCAGATCTTTTTATTATCCCACTTAAATGGTATCAAATCCCAGTGACTAAGGAAATTTCAAGCATTTTTTTTCTCCTTATTACGTTACTATATCAACTATTACAATCATTCTGTCATTTACACTAGGAAGTATATTTTTGTTCTGAAGTGAATGGCAGGCAAGAGCAGTGTTGACAAGCCAGCACTAGTCAGTATTTATCTAGAATCTAAAATAGTTTACACTCATGAGTATCAGTGCAACTGCCTCATTTTTAATATCAGAAACAGGTCTGCAAGTTGTTAAAATTTAATTTAATGTATAAAGAACTATATGTCATCTGATTCACATGGCAAAACTTCATAAGCAACATATTCAAAGAATGTACATCAAATACAGTTAAAAAGGTACATGACAGAGGAAAGTTGTTTCAACTAGTTTCAACACAAATCTCTTAATAAGGAAAGTATTTCACTTCATTTGGTTACTGAGGAGGTGAGCTCCATCCTCAAATGCCACAGAATTGTCTCATACAGAATTCTCTTAAGGTTCAATTATGCCCTTGTTACCCAGCCATATGTAGGAATAGAGGAAATAAACTCCACTGCCTTATACAGCTGCATTAGCCTTGTGTGGATTATGGCTAAGGGTGTGAGGGGAGAATAGCAGCTGTATGACCCCCTACCCCACCCCATATGAGCAAGTGGATGGAGTGGGTACACAGCAGTGATGCCAATGTCCATAAATGTTGGCCAAACTTTGGTGGAGGACGAGAAGATTAGTAATTTGTCTTTCCCCACAAAGCAAGGAGGGAGCAGGAGAGAAAAATATAACTGAGGCTTAAATCCTTTCAGGAGCTAATCCTGGGGCTATGCAGCTAATTTATTTTGATTTAAATTATAACTAAACAGATGCCTATCTAAGGCCATAGGGATCTGAACCCACCATTAACCATACAATTAAATCTCACCTGTGCACCACCTCACACAGGAGTGAGTCTAAAACCCTCCTCCACCCCTTAATAATTAACCCAAAAGCCAGGAGAATGACAAAAAAGGTAAATAATGGAGTCTCTCTCAGTCAGCTATAAGAAGTCATTAAAAACAGATATTTTAAATCTTAAGTGGCTGAGAACTAAAAACATGGCAGCTAAGAAAGGAAAGAAGTCTCTTGTTAGATTACCGGACAAGGAAACCCTACATTAACATTTTGAGGTTGTCATTAGTTTACTCACTGCCTTAAGACGTCTATTAATGAGTTATACCATTGTTATGTAACGATTAAATAGTAATGTATAAAGACCAGATATCAGCTTCAATGCTAATTTATTTAACAGCGACCAAAATGATTTTTCCATTTAATTTTCATCAGTTTGACTCCAAAGCAAATACGGAGAGCAGGATAGCCTATTTCCTTTTCAATCAAATGAAAAAGGTAGTAGTTTTGTTTATGGACTGGGAAGGTTACGAGAAGAACACAGTACATAATGCTGCTTTCAAAGTTTTTTCCCCTCTGAACTGTAGAGGGCAACATTATAGAATTTAACACACTTTAACATGACCTATAGTTACAATACTATCAGAGGTGAAACTAAGCCGGTACGCCCTGGTACGGTGTACCAGTAAGAGCTGGTGCGCCGTACTGGGACCGGCTTTCCCAGATGGCAATTTAAAGCCCTGGGGTAGCAGCGGCAGGGCTGCGGCAGGGATTTAAGGGGCCCCGGAGCTTCAGCCGCTGCTACTGCCCCAGCCCTTTAAATCCCCGCCCGAGCCCTGCTGCCGAAGCCCTGGGGTAGCTGCGACGGGGCTCTGGTGGGGATTTAAAGGGCCCCAGAGCTCCAGCCCCTGCTACCGCCCCAGCCCTTTAAATCCCCACCATGGCTACCCCAGGGCTCAGGCAGCAGGGCTCAGTCGGGGATTTAAAGGGCCCCAGAGCTCCAGCCACCGTGCTACCCCCCCCCCCCCGGGCCCATTAAATCCCAGCTTGAGCCCTGCTGCCCGAGCCCTGGGGTAGAGGTGGGGGGGCTCTGGTGGGGATTTAAATGGCCTTGGAGCTCCAGCAGCTGCTACCGCCCCAGGACTTTAAATCCCCGACGGAGCCCTGCTGCTGAAGCCCTGGGGTAGTGGTGGTGGGGCTCCGGAGTAGATTTAAAGGGCCGGGATGGTAGTGGCAGCTGGAGCCCAGGGGCCCTTTAAATCCCTGACAGAGACCGGCCGCCGCTACGCCAGGGCTCGGGTAGCAGGGCTCAGGCGGAGATTTAAAGGGCTTGGGGCTCCAGCAGCCACTACCACAGTGGAGCCCCTGGCCCTTTAAAGCTCTGCCAGAGCCCAGAGCCCCAGGGTAGCACTGGCAACCAGGAGCCCCCAGGGCTCTTCAGTGATTTAAAGGGCCCGGGACTCCACTGCGGCAGCTGGAGCCCTGGGCCCTTTAAATCGTCCCTAAGTCCCAGGGTTCCCAGCCGCCTCTGCAGCTGGTAGCTCAGGGGTGATTTAAAAGGGCCCCGGGCTCCCAGCTGCCACTACCACAGCTGGAGCCCTGGGCCTTTATATCAAGATTTAAAGGGCCTGGGGATTTAAGGCCCCGCCTCTTCCAGTTGAGGCCATGCCCCCTGCTCAGGGCTCCGGCGTACCGGTAAGTCCTCTAACTTACTTTCACCCCTGAATACTATACACTTTATAAACAAAAACACTGAGTAAGATTTGGTAGGATGAGAAAGGTTTAAGAGCACTTTTTATTTATTTATTTTGTAAAGACCATTTTAAGTTTAAGAATAAAAGATGCTATAGACATATCTAGATACTGTACCAGCATTTCTGACATTCATAATGTACTCAGATAACTTCACTAAATACTACATTTATTACAGCTTAAGCAAACTGTTCAAAAATGCTATTTACTTTTATTACTTCAGTTTTAAATTTAAACAACTGTTGGTTGCTACTGATCAGTAGTACTTTTTGGAACCTGATGGAGCAAATTAACAATCAATTTACATAAGATGGTCTATGATATACCCGTTTCATTAAATATGTTGAATATCCTTTTGGAGAAGATATGGTTAGGGATTGCATAGATAAAAGTATGCACTATTAAATATTGTCATGTTTTGCCATTTTAAAATGTATTTTTGAAAAAAATCAAGTCTATCAAAACAAGCTGTCTTTTTTGCACTGACCTTTTCATGCTGCTCAACAAACATAATCCCATTAAAGTCCATTCCAAACTGCATCCATTCTTAATGCATTTCCACTGCCCAAACAGAGAAAGAAGTAGGATATTTTAACTTCTTATAATGCTAAAAGAACAATTCCTAAAGACTGATCCTGTGATTCTAGGGAAGGAGAGGAAAAAGGGGAGGCTGGAGGGCATGTTTGATCAGAGCTCCTCATACTAGCAGTGCTCCACTAACAACCCCATGGGGTAGACCAAGGTTGCCGAGTTAGGGCTCTGGAGAAATAACGTTCATCCTTATTCCGTCAGCGAGAAGGCAGTTATGACAGTGTGTGCATGTGTGGATCAAGGACGTTTAAAAACAAGGGGATGGTGAGAAACAGTTGGCATCAATGAGGTGCCAAGGACCTCACAGCACAAAATAAATTTTCTGTTAATTAATTTCCCATTTTTTAGAGTTATACAATGCAAGGAAATAAAAAAGCAAGTGAAAACTGAAGAAAAACAAAGAAAATAAGGATTTTCTTCTATACAGCTAGAATCAAGCAGTGACTACTCCCTTAGAATATTTTCATGTCCAATATTTAAAAGGGGGACCACTTATTTTTGTTTGAAGCAGCGCAAGTTCGTTCACATCAACATTGCATTCAAGATGTAGGAACAGTAATTTAATGTTAAACAATTATCCTTGAATGAAAGACAACAGTGAAACAAAGAAAATGTATATAAAACGGCGATACAACAGAACAATGACCAGAGAGAAACTTGACAGGAGATCAGCATAATTTATGTGTTTAAAAACTATATACTTCATTCATAAATATCTTTCTAATTAATAACCATTCCTATTTTAAACATAAATATTCAAGTTGGTATCTGATTTTTTCATTTTTTTAAAATCAGCTTGTAGTATAAGTCCTGTAAGGATCCATTTGTTTTTGCTTGATGCAGTCATTTAATGGTCATCACTACTGGGATGGGTAAAAACCATCATTACCTAGTATGTTGTAACAAAAGTTTAAAATTCTGCAACTCTTTTATACTTGTGGAAAGCCTGTAAAACAAAAACAAACCCGCTTTGTATTAGTATATGTTGAAAATAGCAAAGATATTGCAAATTCTTCTTCCATTTGTTTGTTTCAGGGCAGTAACTAGAGATTTTTAAGCAATTCTAAAAGTAAAACCTTTTCCCTCCAAAAATCTGCCCTATTTATAAGACTGACACAACTATATTTAAGTGAGAGATTAGAAGGATTTCAAAAGAATTCCCTTACTTCATTATTTTATTTAAAAGATGACCAAATTTGCTAAGCAAAGTTCAATAGCTGTTTAATCCTACGTAAACTGGTTTCAGCGAGGGGGGGGGGGGGGGTGGAGTGCCAAAAACCTGTAAAGCTTGCTCAGTTGCCCAGAGCCTAGTATGAGGAACAAAGAGGAGGTTTTTCACCCTTAAAAATTGTAACTCACACTGATGAAATAAAACTTTAGACTGATTGTTTCCAGACAGGCAAAATTCTTCCAATTTTTTACCAATGAAACAGCTACACTAAAGATATATAGTGATGTGGAAAAAATGAGCACCACACACAAAACTTTGCTCATTTGTAAAACTGAATTAGAACCAAGCATGCTTTTTTTTTTTTTTTTTTTTTAAAAGGTTCTCTAACATGCAGGTAACACTTTTGCACCTGTCCCACATTTTTCATGTGTGCACATTCAGAACCCAAAGTGCATCACTACTGAGAGAAGAGCTGCGCTCATAGTATTCCTGGCTCAGAAAGAAAAAGTATCAGAAATCTCATGATAAAGCTTGTTGAAGAGATTCAAAGCCAAAGTTTCTAAACTTAATTTCTGATAGCTACGATACGCATTCATTCTTGTGTATTTATCCAAATATGAACATTGAGACTTGCCATCATCACTACTCCAAATAGTTCGCACCAAGGTGTTAGTGATATTTATAAACTTACTTACCCTTCTCCTCCTCCCCAAAAAAGGTAATCTCAACCTATTCTTTTCACAGATTTTATCAAGAGTTAACCTTAAAATCTACAGCCTGCTGTTAGATACCTTCAAACAAAAAAAAGGTAAACTTACCTTCCAAATGCATTTAGGAGAGCAACTATTTCTTGACGTGTGAGTTGAAAACCTTTTGACGGGCTATTCTCGGGAAGGTTCTGAATCTCTTTTTCAGAGAATAAAATCTTTAGAGCAGTTCCTAAGCCTTGAGTCTAAAAGAAATTCAGCATTTTTAACCATTAATAAAACAGTCTAGTTCACCCTTGCAAATTGTCAAGAGAAATTTACTTATTCAGGCATAACTCCATCTTACATGCAACACTGCCTTCCCCTTCAACACCTGGACATGCTCCCACATGTACCAGTACACACCTAACAATGTGCATACACTCCTCCAATTACACACCAAGTTCATCTTCTCTCTTTTACACATACTCCTCACCTTCAAATTAATGAATTCTCTTCTCATCACCATCAAATTTCAGTTCTTCCCTCTCCCTAGCCGCTTCCTCCCAAATTCATGATTTTTCTTCTCTGCCGAACCAAATCTACTACCACAAAGCAGCAGCTCTTCAAGGTTGCTAAAGCCACCTGAGCCCCTCTCCCCTAATCAGGCATCCTCATGGCTGCCTCAAAAACCTCTCCCCCTCAATCAAACCATTGGGCTCCTCACCTCCTGGCTGCTCCACTTTCAGTGTTACTACTTTAGCCTCTGCAGGGAAAGAGGGAGAGGTTTCTGCTTTAACTCCTTCCCTTGTGTGTAGAAAGTGGCTATTAGAGATTCTGAAGTGCTAAGGTGCCAGTTACCTTCTATCTCCCCCCCACACACACACACACACCTATGGCCTTTGAGCAGGGGATTGGACTAGATGGCCTCCTGAGGTCTCTTCCAACCCTAATATTCTATGATTCTATTATAAGGACCCATTGGATCTGAGCAGGAGGCAGTGGTTTGGGGACAGTTTCAAGAGGATGCTGCAGGACAGGAGAGGTGTGTGCCTGGCTTAAGTTGGCCTCTCATGAGGAGAAAAAAGGATAGCGGAAGCACAGAGGAGCCAGTGAGGGGGGGATCCGGAGGATTCAGCAGAGGTCATTACATTTGCTCCTCCACTTATTCTGCTGCTGAGCTGAAGGAGGGTGAGTGGAGCTCCCTACATGCCTGATGGTGTAATGCCAGCAATTGCTCTCACAGTATTGGTTATTCTCAGTTCACATTTTTAAGACTATTTCCAACACTCAGGGGTAGTAACTTTAAATTCTGCTTTTAATTTAAGTTTAAGATCTGCAGAAGTCAAGACATTGGTAGTGTTATCAACACTTGCAGTTTTATTGTGAGTCTTGTAACATTTGGCTTCTTTCTTAAAGCTGCAGTTCCTGAAGGCTAATGAATACAGGAGAATCTCAGCTTTCATTTTAAAAAAGGTTCTAGCCCTAATGGTTGCAGAGAGAAGTCTGAAATCATGAAGTGAGGAGGACACCCTAAAGATGCAGAAACTAGAAAGCAAACAGAGTGCCCACAAATATTTGAAGTCTCAGGATTCTTAAATCAATCTCATAATTTCTGAATGCTTGTAAGTAGAAATACTGCATTTGTTATACTTGACAGAAAAGCTTCCTATTTTCTGTTGGCAAGGGCCATTTTGCAAGGTTCATCTATTTACTTCATATTAGACATATACACAAACGTGTCTTAAGATGGTTATAAAAGACATCACTAATGGGATTTTGCTTTTGAAGTTTGCTGAAAATTATGTTTCATAACTTTGTGAACATTTACATCTTAATCAGTGAAGTAACTGTGGCAAATATTAATAGTTTCTAGAACTTATTTTGAACATATAAGAAGTGCTATACAACATTTGAGCAATACCACATGGATACCAGAGAACTAAACAGTGACAGCCATCAAATTTCTAGATAAAAAGGCAGATTCCCAAAAAGGTATGTATACACAGGAAAGCAAAGGGGATTAGTCCTGCTTTGAGCAGGGGTTGGACTAGATGATCTCCTGAGGTCTCTTCCAACCCTGATATTCAATGATTCTATGAAAATACAACGTACCTGCAGTTTGCCCCACAATCTGCATTTATCGCATCCAACACAATCCATTATGCGGGATATATTTTTGAAATGCAACCTGAATTCTTCCTAGCAATAAATACAGAAAAAAAGTTTCACACTAAGGCAGGCTTTTAAAAAAAGTCTAGTGCTTTAAGCAGTTTAGAAAGTAGCAGGCTCACTAATTTGGAGAATCTACTATTTGTGGAAAATATGGAATTCTGGTTGATGTTATGAAGTAGTTATGAAATTGTATTGTGGAATACCTCTATGTGGATGTAAACACAAGAACGTAAAAACGGGCATAGTGGGTCAGACCAAAGGTCCATCTAGCCAAGTATCCTATATTCCAACAGTAGCCAATATCAGGTGCCCCAGAAGGAATGAACAGAACAGGTAATCATCAAGTGATCCTTTTCCTGTCGCTCATTCTCAGCTTCTGGCAAACAGAGGCTAGGGACACCATCCCTGCCCATCCTGGCTAACAGTCATTGATGAATCTATCCTCCATGAATTTATCTAGTTCTTTTTTGAGCCCTGTTATAGTCTTGGCCTTGACAACATCCTCTGGCAAACAGTTCCACAGGCTGACTGTGCGTCGTGTGAAGAAATACTTCCTTTGTTCGTTTTAAACATGCTACCTATTAATTTCATTTGGTGACCCCTAGTTCTTGTGTTATGAGAAGGAGTAAATAACATTCCTTATTTACTTTCTCCACACCAGTCATGATTTTATAGACCTCTATCATATACTCCCTTAGTCATCTCTTTCCAAACTGAAAAGTCCTACTCTTATTAATCTCTCCTCGTACGGAAGCAATTCCATACCCCTAATAATTTTCGTTCTCCTTTTCTGAACCTTTTCCAATTCTAATACATCTTGCAGTATTCAAGAAGTGGTGTACCATGGATTTATATCGAGGCAATATGACATTTTCTGTCTGATTATCTTATTATTTCTTAATGATTCCCAACATTCTCTTCGTTTTTTTGACTGTTGCTGCACATTGAGTGGATGTTTTCAGAGAACAATCCATAATGACCCCAAGATCTCTTTCTTGAGTAGTAACAGCCAATTTAGACCCCATGATTTTACAATGTATAGTTGGGATTATGGTTTTCCAAGGTACTTTACTTTGCATTTAATCGACACTGAATTTCATCTGCCATTTTGTTGCCCAGTCACCCAGTTTTGAGAGATCCTTTTGTAGCTCTTCTCTGTCTGGGACTTAACTATCTTGAGCAATTTTGTACCGTCTGCAAACTTTGCCACCTCACTGTTTACCCCTTTTTCCAGATCATTTATGAATATATTGAATAGGACTGGTCCAAGTACAGACCCCTTGGGGACACCACTATTTACCTCTCTCTATTCTGAAAACAGACCATTTACTCCTATACTTTGTTTCCTATCTTAACCAGTTACCAATCCATGAGAGGACCTTCCCTCTTAGCCCATGACAGCTTACTTTGCTTAAGAGCCTTTGGTGAGGGACCTTGTCAAAGGCTTTCTGAAAATCTAAGTACACTAAATCCACTGGATCATCCTTGTTCACATGCTTGTTGACCTCCTCAAAGAATTCTAGTAGTTTGGTGAGGCAAGATTTCCTTTTACAAAAACCATGTTGACTCTTCCTCAACGTATTATGTTCATCTATGAGCCTGACAATTTTGTTCTTATAGTTTCAACCAGTTTGCCCAATACTGAAGTCAGGTTTACCAGCCTCTAATTGCTGGGATCAACTCTGGAGCCTCTTTAAAAATTGGCGTCACATTTGCTATCCTCCAGGCATTTCATACAGAAGCTGATCTAAATGATGGTTTAGAGATTACAGTTAATAGTTCTGCGATTTCACATTTGAGTTCCTTGAGAACTCTTGGGTGAATACTATCTGGTCCTGGTGACTTATTACTGTTTAATTTATCAATTTCTTCCAAAACCTCCTCTCATGGCTGTTAGGATATAGATATACAGGCCTGTCTGTAAAGGCCTATACTCTAAGAATTTAGGTGTATTCTTATCACTTAGCTAGTTACAGAGGTATAAAAGAAAGAATCAAAATCACTGTCTGCCGGTGTAAGGACCTTCTCTTACTGTGACAGTCTGAGGCCCTGTTGTTAGGCTAAGGCCTTTGGCTAAGCAACAGAGGCAGCCATAAGCTGGGAAGCAAACGGTCACATCCTCACATTCCAAACTAGTCACATTGAAATAAGGTGCTATTGGGCTGTTCGGAGTACAATCCTGTCCTGATAATGCCTATTGCCTCCAGAGAAAGGGAAGTGCCTAGAAGATGTAAAAGGAAACTTAGTTTGATAGCATCCTGTCTGGCAAGAACTCACTTATCAATAAGTGAGTGGGATGTGAAAGCTGGGATGTGAAATCCTCATTTCTTTGTTCTATCACGGTAGTCCCCATTTCCCTATTGTTTGTCTGTGTAATCTCTGCTGGTTCTGTGATTGTTTCTGTCTGCTGTATAATTAATTTTGCTGGGTGTAAACTAATTAAGGTGGTGGGATATAATTGGTTAAATAATCATGTTACAATATGTTAGGATTGGTTAGTAAAATTTCAGTAAAATGATTGGTTAAGGTATAACTAAGCAGAACTCAAGTTTTACTATATAGTCTGCAGTCAATCAGGAAGTGTGTGTGTGTGGAGGAATGGGAACAGGGAATGGGGATGGGGAAATTGGAATCATGTTTAGCTAAGGGCAGGAATGGGAACAGGGACACAGGTAAGGCTCTGTGGTGTCAGAGCTGGGAAGGGGGACACTAAGGAAGGAAACTGGAATCATGCTTGCTGGAAGCTCACCCCAATAAACATCGAATTGTTTGCACCTTTGGACTTCGGATATTGTTGCTCTCTGTTCATGCGAGAAGGACCAGGAAAGTAAGTGGGTGAAGGAATAAGCCCCCTAACAATGACACCTCAATCTGGGACAGTTCCTCAGATTTGTCACCTAAAAAGAATGGCTCAGGTTTGGGAACCTCCCTCACATCTTCAGCAATGAAGACCAATGCAAAGAAATTCATTTAGTTTCTCCGCAATGGACTTATCCTTGAGTGCTCCTTTGGCATCTCGATCGTTCAGTGACCCCACTAGTTGTTTAGCAGGCTTCTTACTTCTGACGTACTTAAAAAAAAATTTTGCTATTACTTTTTGAGTCTTTAGCTAGCTGTTCTTCAAATTCTTTTTTGGCCTTCCTAATTATATTTTTACACTTCATTTGCCAGAGTTTATACACTCCTTTTATTTTTCTCACTAGGATTTAACTTCCACTTTTTAAAGGATGCCTTTTTGCCTCCCTTATTTGCTAACAGGGGCTATAGCATGTCTCTGCCAGATCAGGGATAACAGTCAGTGACTGAACATTAATGGTTGCCCATCAGGAAGAAACACCTTGGGACAATGGGTTGGCTAAAGCTAGGAGAAGCTAGCTAGCTCCTCCAACTTCTCGGTAGGGAGTGGAGAGTGGAAAATCCTCAATAACAGAAGGAAGAATCCAAGTGTTGGTAAGGGACATATAAACTTGAGGAACTCACAAAGCATGACACAGGAAGCTTTGAGCAAGAAAGAGGGGCATACTTTTGTAGCAAGGATGACCTGTGATAATAATTGTGGGGCCAGCCAATGTCAGAAAAAGCTAGCTAACCTAGAGCAGGAGAGAGGCTACATGACTCTGAAGAAAAACTATGATCTGAGCAGAAGGGTCCTGGACACCCCAAAGGACTTTGCCAAAGCCCAAAAAACTCTCCAAGCTGGGAAATTAAAATCTTGTGCAAAGTCTGTTTGTGTTTGCTTTCAATGTCACATGTCCCTAATGACAAACTGTAAACTCAGAGCACCCATGTGGCTGGAATTTATAGCAGAGGGTGTGGTAAACTATGGAGAAGTCTGAGGGATCAGCAGTCCCTGGGACAAGGCAGTTGGACCACAAAGGTCCCAGCAGAGGATCTGCAGCCTGAGGGTGTCCCTAGAGATACCAGCCAGTGACAGTTGCCTGTATTCTGTTCAGGTTCAAGAGTCTGAAAGAGTACACATGACTCAGTAAGGTGGGCCCCAAACACAACATCCTAGTGAGTATTCAGATGTGGGAGGTCGTGTCTGTGTCTGTGTAAAGTGTAATTACTGAGTAATGTTTTCCACCAAAGGAGATGGGAAAAAACAAGATTAGGCATACCATCTCCAATTCCCTAAATGGATTTCCTGTGAAGAATTACAAAATAGATGTTTAGCAGAAAATATGAACATGCAACTATCTGTACATCATAGTGAAACTAGATGGCCTGTCAACTCATTTAAGGAGGCAAAATTAGGAGAGAACACAAATAGAATCCATATGTATCCACAGCATTTTATCTAGTTAGTAGCTGCTGGGCCTAACTAATTTTCTGACAATGCTAATAGTTTCGTCGGCAACCCCTGTAATGTAAATAAAATTACTACACTACAAATGAAACAATGATATGAAGAACAGATTTGCACCTTTACTGTTTACTAATTCAGTGATCCAAGTTTCTGAATCTGAACAAAAGACCATGCAATAATGAAAAATGTTGATCACATGGATGGAGTGCTTTAAGATTAACTATCTGCCTCTACAAATCAAGGTTTCCTCATGTAAAATTCTTACTCAAGCTTGTTTGGAACTGCATTACACCTCCCCACCTTGTTAAAGGATAAGATGAAGCTTCGTGGGAAACAATCTATTTAAAAACAATACTGCTTCTATCACGAAGACTGATTCCATGAATTTGTCTTGCCATAGTAACAGTGGCAGAACAATGCACTCCAGTACAGATTTCAATCTGCCAGGCTGAGGATACAAGAGAAAAGCAACTCGTAAGCAGCCTTAATGGTCATTTTTGGATTTGTCATGCAATCTTCTTTATTGCCAAGCAGATGAAATTAGGTCAATTTGTTATAGGTTACTAAGTTTCTTTTACAAGGTCCAAAACACAGTGCTATTCTCATTGTCCCTTCCCTGCATCCACCCTAGGTACACTGCTGTGAAGGTTTATTAAAAGTGGTTCTATTGTGTAAGTAAATAATATTCTGGGTTTTAATCATTCAAAAAAAATGTACATTAGGGATGTGTTTAGGACTTTACCTTTAACGACTTGGCCCCTTTTTTATCTCCTGCAAACATGGACTTTTCATCAAAGTGCATTGGAAAGGATCTGCTCAAACAAAAAATTGTAAAGAAAATCAGCACACACTACAATTTATCATCCAAGTTTACAGTATAACTCTACTAACTATTTTACAATTACTTGGAAGTTTCTGCTCTGGTTCATTGAAGACAAGTCACGATAGCCTGTGCGGCAGTGCTGATTAATGCAAACACACACTATAAGCATAGTAAACCACAAAGTCAAAAAAACCCAATCCTCTGCCATGTCTGAGGTGTGTATTAATCTGCATTAACATAAAGCCAAAAGTATCTCAGGATTATAAAAAGAGCATTATTAAAAAGTCAACTTTTTTGAACTCTCAGTCCATACAAAACAGTTTCTTGGGATTGCCGTATACGGTACCCATTTTATAAATTTAACACTACCTTATTTGAAGCAGTTTATTTGTTTTGCAGAGATTTCTCTTTGCTCCCCTCTGCCCACTAATCAAGACCCCTTTCTCCCATAGATCCTCTTAGTGTTCTTCTTGCAGCCTAAAAGTTACTTAGTTTTGTTATGATTTAGGACATGAATAACTATCTGAGTTTTTCTAGTGCAAAACGAACCAGAAGGCTGACTGAGTCACACAGTAGAAGAGGGGAAATGAGGTGACCTACAACAAAGTCTAGTCAAAGGGATGCTAAATATGAGTTGGTTGTGGGGACTCCCAAGTAGCAGACATACAAGAGGAGAGGAAATTGAACAACGGGATAATCTACTTGTAAAAACTGGTTTAGCAGCAGGATCTCTGCTAAAGTTAGATGCTACATTTTACTAATATTTTATATTAAATGGCAAGAAATCTATTTTGAACACCTGGGAAAATGAGGGTTGGATGTTTTAAAATATTTCTTAATGGCTCTAACAAGAAATGTTTCCTTCTTCTCCTGTTTTTTGGCCTCTCCTCCTTTCCAATGCACCCTTCCAACTTGTCTCCTCATTCTCTTCCCCACCATCATTTTCTTTATCCAGCTTTTCCAAACCTTCTATCCATCCAAAAGTCACCTCTGTTCCTAGAAGATGGCTGAAATAGCAATACAAAATCTAATGTCTCACTTTGTATCTCTGAAGATGTCTAGCAAGAGGGTTTTAGATTCAGCATCCTCTTGGACATTTCCAGTGTAAAGGTCTACAAATGAACGCTCGAAGTATGGTGCAACTTTTGACAAAGCACGCAGCTCAATCAAATATAAGAAATATAAATTCTTTAGCCTCCTTGGTCCTTCTCCTTTTGTTTCAATAGGGTCAAAGCGATGAATAAACTCCTTGACATTGTGTCCCCAACGAGGCTTCCCCCAGGTTTCTAAGCAGAGAACAGAAAGATAATTTTCAGTAAAGACAAACAACTACTGTACAAATACATAGACAAACTGTGTTTACATACACACATTTAATAGGCTTAATATATATACAAACAGACAGGACAAATAACTATTCCCAATGGCCATATAAGATGAGACACATTTTCAGGGCTCTTACATAAAAATATAAATTACCTTCAAGAAGATAGTTTGCACACAGATGTAAGTTGATGCTAACATGAAGTCCAGAAATGAGTTTATAGAATACTCTTTTCTCCAGACAAAGACCTGGTTAGAAAAAGCATTGATTATTAAAAATATCATTAAGATAAAAAAAATGTTCACTGAAAATGTGATGCAAAATTTGCATTGTTTAACTTTTAGTGTTGGACTTAGAATTAAGGAAAATGCCACTTTAAAAAAATTCCTATTGCTTTCAGTGGGAAGAGTTTATATCTTAAGTCTACCATCTCACTCACCTGCCCCCCCGCCCCTCCATAACAGGCACACTTGTTCATTACCGGAAGGCTTTTGTCAGCACACATTAAAAAGAAAGGAGCAGTTAAGTATTTGGTAAAAAAAATCAGAACAAATCTCCACGCAAAAAAAAAGTCATGTTTATGTAGTTTGGGTAAAACAGATTTGAAATAATCTACTTTGGCCTCTACAGCTAGGGAGACAATTGTACTAGTGACCATCCAGAAAGTAAAACAAAAATAAAAACTACCCCCCCCCAACACACACACACACAAAAACCAAACAAACAAGGTATCCCAACCTAATGGTCACTGCTATCTGCAACTGATATTTTATGGCCAAATTTAAAGGCAGCATTTGAATCTGCTAAGATTGTTCTTTTTGGTTGCAGGCATAAATGCACAAAAAATGGCAAGAATAAAACAAATACTTGGACAAAACTGGCCAAGATAAATGAAACTTAATAGTGGCAGTGGAAGACCTCAAGGCTGCTGCTTAACTATGATACAACTTAAATATCAAGTTAGTTAAGATAAAACTGAGAACAAAAGAGGCAGAAAAAAACAAGACGGAAAGCAATTTCCTGGGGAAGTAGAAAGGGGAGGCAATGAGGAGAACATAAAGAGCACCAGCAGCCACAAAACAATTTCATCACAAAAAAGGTGATGATCCAGGCATATGTCCAGACCCTTAAGGACATGATCACTGACACCACCCAGGAGGTGGTTTAACTGAAAAGTGCTATAGTAACTCAGAGGGCTGAAGACCCAAAAGATATTGTTTAGTGCAAGTATTCGAAAACTGAAACAACATACTGATGATATTTGAGGGAGCAAAATCAAATTAAAGGGCAAATTAAAGGGAAAGTGGGAGTCTTCAGTGGAAGGCAAACCAGAACAAGTCTTTGAGGAAGCATTTGAAGATGACAGTGGAGGTTGCATGACAAGAAATGGGAGGACAACACAGGAATAAAGGGCTGTAAGTAAAAGGACATGGAGTCACTTATGGAAGAAGGGGACTAGGAGAGAATCTGTTAAGGTCAAGTTAACTAGAAACCATATTTTCTGAAGTCAATAAGCAGTGTTGCCCCCGGTGTAGAGAGAGAAAACTGATACGTATGCTACTTCCAAATGTAGAGATTCTGTCTACACTGTGGGGTAATGTGCAGGAGGGGATTGTGATTTTTAAAGTGCAGTAACGTGTTTCACATGAATTGGTCTATGTAAACTCTGTTGTTGCACATTAAAAGTTCCCTAGTGCACTTCAATGTAGTACTACGGCACTACATTGAAATGCACTAGGCAACTTTTAGTGCACAGCAACAGGGTCTACACTGATCCATTAATGCTCAACATGTTAATGCACTTTAAAAATCACCTTCCCTCCACCCCAAGTGCACTTTACCCCACTGAGAGGACAAACACTTACTACATATTTTCCAAGAGATTCTGGGTAAAATGGTCCTATTGCCAAACTGAAGTAACTGCCTTTTAGAAGGTCTGGTCTCCTTTACCGCCATAGTATTTTATTTTAAAGAGCTGATATTATGCTTTCCCGTGCTAGTAGCTTTTACAGCTGCTAACAGCAGCAGTAAATGCTTTATTCAGAACAAAGTTAGCTGCTTAAAAGGCTTAATGATGTTTTCTTGCTCCAATTAACAAAATATTCTTTTCCACACCTCTAGGATACCTTTGGTTGCTATAGGTATTAAACCTGCTTGGCATTTTAAGGCAATTAAAAGGTAAAAAATTGCTTTTTGCTGCTAACTGTTCTTTTTCTCGGTCTTAAAACCAATTCTGCTTGTATAAATGAGCGGTTCAGCCACCCCTGCTTTCTAAAACATCTGACAATTAGTCCTAATAAAGATCCTAGCAATTTCTTTGTCTACTTCTTCATTTTAGATTCTAAAAATTGGGAGTCATGAGTAGCTAAATGGTGAGCATTTACAATAACAAGGCAACTGAACAAAAGAGGAGGTCTCTTCAAGTCTTTCAATGCCTCTTAAAGTACTTTTATTGCACAAAAATATCTCTGCATAAAAAGAGTGCATTCTGAGTATGATTGCTTGAATAATTTCAGGAGGCTAATTTACCCTGATTTCAAGTCCAATTTAGCTCACTCTAAATACTTTTAAAAAACTACACTCCTAAAAACTCTATTTCACACACCATATGTAGGTTCATAAAGAAAAGATATTCATAAATCTTCGTGTAGATCAGCTGAACATAATATACAATCACCTAGATTTTCTAAAACATGCATGAGGACAGTTTTGTCTACAGTACAAAACCCTATTGCTTAGAGACAACTCTCTCATATATCATGGATAATTAGACTTGGAAAGTGAATACCAGTGTTCTAGCAGTGTAGAATGTCAACATAAGGGTACAAAATCTCTTACAAATACTACAATAACTGATCCACTAACAAACAATTACTGGCTTTGGGATGAAGATGTACACTCACTCCAGGCACCAACCAAATATGACTGACAGTGAGTAGGGATAAGAAATTGGGGAACACTACTGGTATCTCTTCTTTCTAATGCAATTAACATTAATTTTAGGCATCATTATATCAACTTTTCTTTTACCTTCTAGCCATGTGTAGAAAGATTCTCCTGAAAACACAAAAATACATAGTTAAATCCATCAGCATTCATTTGTACATATTAACATCCTTTAAGTAGAAACTAGGGCCGTCAAGCGATTAAATGACCTACACGATATCATTCATAAAGCTGGTCAGAACTGTTCAAATCTGTTCAAAAGGTATTTTTTATGGATAGAACTTGCACTAAAAATGGCTTTTTGAACTATATGAAAATTCTGTGGAAAGTTTTCATATCTTAAAAAAATAATTTTTTTCCATCAAATGGAAAAAAATTAATCAGTTCCCCTTCCCTTTTCCTTTTCCACTCACTTTTCCACTAGAAAAAAATGGAAATAGAAAGAGGGGAGGACCCAAACCTGAAACCTCAAAATCTGTTTATATTCTCAACAAATTTTTCATTTTATTAGTGAAAAAATTAAGATTTCTATGAAATTAAAAAAATTCTTGTTTCTTCAAAAATTTTCAAGGAAGATTCTTATTTTTGACCAGCCTACACCACTCATTATTTCACACACAATGACGACTCCTCGTCTCCTTTGCAAACTAAATTTTCTTACTCTTTTTAATCTTTCCTAACATGAAAGTCTTCCCATGCCTTTAATAATATTCAGTGATATCCTCTGGATCATTGTTATTTCTACTATATAATTTTTGAGATGGGGTGATCAAAAGTAATGAAAGTGTTCAGGCTAACAGCGTAACCACTGATTTATACAACAGCATATTTTCAACATTTTCTAACCCTTTCTTGATAGTTGAAAATCTTGTTTGCTTTGACTGCAACTGTGCAGGTTTTCACTGAGCTGTCCACAATGACCCCTAGATCTTTTTAGAAATCAGCAATCAAAGCATTTCTTATCATACACAGACTACAATGGGGAAAAAAAAGGGGGATAAAACACCCTGACTATATATAAAGAAACTATCCAGGTAAAAAAAAGTTGTTCTTTTCCTTTATCAAATAAAAAGATTACATCTGCCATCAATGGAAAAGAGGAGAAACGCAAAGCCCTGCACAATTCAGGCCCAAAAGACTTCCACCCCATGTCTTGTAAAAACCTTCCCAGACCCTCTTTCATTTTTTCACCTTTACTCTTCTTGTTATTCATGTATTCCAGCAGCAAGACCATAAATATTCTTATGGGAAAAAGACAGACAAGTGAACTATATAATTAGGGCAACTATTTTGCCTCTTTTTTTTCCCCCCACTGGTAAAAAGAGTGAAAATTATTTCTTCCTCTCCATCCAAAAGAAGTTTATGCAACAAGTAAACAATCACAATTACCGAAGTAACTCCCACTATATATTTAACTAGTATGGAGAATGTATTAAATCAGACTTACCATCATCCTCCCCTGGAAAAAAAGAAAAAAGTTGTAAATAAAGATCTAGGAACATTAGAAAAAAAACCTTTTCCACTCTGTATGGGAAATGACACATGTACCCTGCTATACAGATATTTAAAGATGCAAGAAATGCTTCTTCAGTTCATGTCAGGAATCTTACAAATTGCTTTTCTTTTACACAGAAGATATGCTGTAGGTCAAACAGAAGTTATGGGCTTGGTGCAGAAATTACTGAATGAAGACCTATGGCCTGTGTTATGCAAAAGGTTTGGATAAATGTCTAATGGTCCTTTCTTGGTCTTATAATCAGTGAACTGTTCACTCCTGTGCATGTTACATTATAAAACACACTTAACATTTTAAATATAATTAGTACAGTACAATATTCAAATATACTTAACTGCCTGCCAACAGTTAATATCAATATCACCGAGCTAGGAGGTCAATATTTAAGTTTTTAATTAGACAAATTAAAAAAAACACAGAAGGAAGTATTAGGGAGTAACAACAGAGACTCTGCCTATGTTCATGCATATAAGATATAGGGCTATATTGTGTTATTTTTTAGACTGAATTAACTGATTTCATTAGTGACATTTAAAAACAAAGACTGGTTACAATTTTGCCGATAGTCCTCATCTATGCTAAATGAGTCTTCCTTCATTTCAACACGCAGGGTTTCTTTTTGAATGAATTTATTTACATTAATATTTCATTGTTATGGGAACTAGGCAACCATCAGTACAGAAACTGAAGACTTCAATTTAGATTCACTGAGAAAATAAAAACTAACTTATTTTCATTTAGAATTTTAACATCAAAATTCTATTAGCATAAAGTATGCCTACTTAACACTGCTTTTCAAACTTTCATCTTTAAGGTAAATCTTTCCAGTGGATCCCACTTTGTATAGTAGTGAAATGATACTACTTCAGGAAAACTCATTACTTATTACTAACTTGACTATGAAAGAAAAGTTGTTACTGTGCATTGTATTAGCCAATAAACATACTGAAGTGACAAAATTAGATGCTTGAGGAAAATAAATCAGATTCAAGATATGAATTTTGAAGATACTGCTGTAAGGTTTTTCTAACTCCCACCCATCTTAGTATGGGATTTTGACCTTGATCTTGTAAACACTTATAGATGTGCTTTAATTTGCACACAAGTAGTCCCAATGACTTTAATGAGATTGACATGCATAAGATTAAGCATGTGTGCAATTTAACAGGATCAGAGCATTAATTTTAGCTAATTAAGTTTTTGGTATATTAGGGTCAATTTCTTTATATTTCATGATCTAGTTTTTGTCACTTTATATGACACTGAGTGGACAACAGATAGTACTACAGCATAGGATATTATTTGTATAATTTGGACTAGAAAATTCATTAAGGTGAGTTGAAATGCTTTTGAAAGTGTTTTAACAAGTACAAAATAGTTAAGAGACCCACCCCTGCTGGGTGCCAATGGATTTAAAGGACGATAGACAGATCGAGGCCTGAAAAAAAGTTAAAAAATAAATGATTTTTGTATTTTGAAGAAATGTTACTGTTCAAAGTATAAAGTGCATTTTCCTCCCTCCCCAGTTACTTGAAGCAGTTTTCTTCATAGATGCTGTTCCACACTCTCCATGCAGAGGCCCCTTTGTATCCAGTGTAACGTTCTGGATTCAGCAGCAAATCCACATACTGCGCATCTGGAGATCTCTCATCTAAACAGGAAACCCTTTGTTACATATTCTAACCAGTCACTTTAAAAGGACTGAGTTTCACAAAAAGCAGTTATACAGAACAAAGTAAAAGTGAGATCTCGGACATCAAACACTATCTTATCCTCTAATTTGGTTTTAAAGACCAGCATAAATATCCTGTATATAATATACAGTGTTATACGCTAAAGGTGACATTAAATAAGATCTGCTTCATTCTATACAGGTTCTTGTACTACTCTCATCACTGCAGCAGCTGAGTACCTTCCAGTAGGGCACTAAGCAACAGGACTAACACTGTCACGTGTGGGTCTCTCTCTCTCTCTCTCTCATTCTTTTCCAAAGAGAAGATTTGTGTATGCAAATGTAGTGGTTTTCATTTATTTATTTATTTATTTTTTTTAAACATGCTTCCGCTGGAGAAGAAGGTGGTGAGGTCTTTGGTGGTCCTTTGCTCCTGTGTGAGTTCGTTCCACAGACTCTGACTATTGCAAGTATAGGCCCCAATCCTGAAAAAACTAATGCTTGGACTTAAAAGTTAAGCAAGTGAATGGTCCAACTGGACATTGGGTCAATAGGACTACTCAGATGCTTTCAGTTAAGCAGTAGTCAATAGTGGGTCAGTAGTCAATAGGACTACTCAGATGCTTACAGTTAAGCATGTCAACGTACAGTAAGTGTTTTCAGGATTGGGGCTATATGTTAAAAAAGAACACTAAATAATGATAGAAATTAGGACTTCCAATGTTCAAATTCTTCTAAAATCTAGGGTTTATTTTATGATTGCTTTTACAAGATGTATTTCTCAAATTTTATTCATTAGCTAAAAGAAATTTGTAAGATTTATTTTTAGATGCTTTAGTCCACATTTTCTACCAATTTACAATGCTGCCAACTAGAAATATTTTATAGTGCATTTTAGAATGTTCTTATAGCCAGGAAAAGCTATAAATTGCAACAGAGCATTTAATCATTCCTCTTATTTCTAGGTATATTATTTAAGTTCAACATGAATGCAAAAGGACCACATCCAAAAATAAAATTTCAAGATAGCTAAATACAGCTTTTTCAATGCTTTTTTAAAAATGTGAAAGATAACTGAAATACTACTCCCAAATTATTAAAGAAGTAAAAACTAGAAACAATTACATATAAATAAAATATCTGATTTGAAAGGTCAAAAACTACAACCAAATGTCAAGAGTGTGTCACCCAATCAATCACAAGAGTAAGCCAACAGAAGCCCCGAGCACTTGCTCTTGTAATGATGAATGACGAGCAACCATAGTAGAAAGTAAGAGCTGATCTAGCAATGAAAAAAAGAATACCATCAGAACAGCAGTTAAGTGTCATTTCAGAAGTGATCAAAGAAGAGTAGAGAGAGGCGGAAGGGAGACAGTCAGAAGCTAAAATCATCTTAGGAAGCTGAACAGGCAAGGTGCAGGCAGCAGGCAGAAATGATGATGATAGAGAGGAAGCAAAAGCCTGTGCAAGCTATGGGTTCCAGAACTACAATCTACTTCCCATAAAAATCCATACAAGCCAGAAAAATATGTTTTAGGTGTTCTAATACTTTACCAAACACTACTGAGACAGCTTTAGTTCGATCTCTAACCTTTGTTAATAAGTTATCTAGAATAGGCTGCAATAATCAAAACTACTATAGCAGTTACCAGAAATAGCAGCAGCCATGTTCTGAGATGAAGACAAATGTCAACCCAAAAAGATCAATTTTTGCTAATTATTAAAAATAACATGTTTACTAAAGGTAAAGAGGATTACTTCAATCCAGAGGCAACTAAGAAAAAAGCGATGCGGCGAAGAAACAAGCTCTTTGAAAGTGCAAATTTCTAAAGGTTAGCAAAGGGAATACAGTAAATGACTGAGGGTATAGCTACACCCTCAGTATAGAAAAAAACAAAAAACAAACAAACAAAATAAAACCCCAGCAGCTAGCCTCAGAGCTCAGATCAACTGACTTGGGCTTGCAGGGCTAAAAATAGCAGCGTGATGTTTGGGTCCGAACTCAGAGACCCTCTCTGCTCCTAGGTTTCAGAGCCCAGGCTCCAGCACAAGTCTACACTTGTTAGACCTGCAGCATGAGCTCTGGGAGCACAAGTCAGTTAACCTGGGCTCTAAGACTCCCTGGAGCATTGTTTTTTGTTTTGTTTTGCTGTGTAGACATACTCTCAATAGGTTAAAGCAATTAGGTTTTGCGTAAGTGGTCTTATGTTTGCCCCAGTATGGAAGGAGGATTTCAGCATCTTTTACTGTTACTTGTGCACTCTCTTTCCTTTTCATTTCCATAAAATATACACCTGTCTATCCACTATCAAATGCCTCACATGTTGGTACTAATAGAGACTATCTCCCTATGCCCCTAGGTTGTACTCCCCCACCCACACACACTAAGAACTTTCCTTCTACATGAGAAGGTCTGAGATTTTTATTTGGCCAGTCAGCACAAAATTAAGTCATTTGTATTACACCTTTAAACTTATTTACTGACAGTGCATAAATATGCTTTCTCAGAGAACTTCAGCTGTTTTAAAAGCTTATTCACTTCCATATCTATTTTACCATCAAGTTCACAAAAGTGGTCCTGTGAATCATCATATCTTGCCCAGTCAATGAAAGCCTCTTTACTTTGGTTACTGAGAAAAAGAGAAAATAAACACATGTAATTGAATTTGACTTGTAAAAATGCTTTTATTTTTGTTTTTAAATGTATCCATGAAGAGCTGTCAAAATTAGCAATCATAAAACCACACAAATTAGATAATTTTGAATACAGAGAATTGATGGTGTGCAATATCTCTGGAGCTAAATTTAAAATGACTGTATCCGAAGCACTGGAACATATCAACGAGCTATTGCCTGTTAGATGCTTGTAAATTTATCTCAGGAGAAGGAAAACGAATGCCTGTATTCAGACTTGTCATACAAACACACCTTTCATGGCAAGCTGGAGTGTAAATCTAACCTGCACTAGACTACAAAGCACTAAGTGCCGTGTGGACACTGCTGCTGTGCACTAAAAGTTCCCTAGTACACTTTAGTCTGCCCTGCATTGAAATAGAAGTAGGTTAGAGCACACTAGGGAACTTTCAGTGTGTGGTGGAGTAGATACAAACCCCAGCTTCCCAAGAACCGTGTGTTTGTATAGACAAATCTTTATATATTGTAGAAAAAACCCTGCATTGGCAAAGATGGACATGGGTCTTTCATCTCCTCTGTCCCATTTCTAACATCAACTGATTCTACATTACAATAGGAGACAAGCCAATGATCTTGATTATGTATATTGCTTTGTAAATAGGATTATCCTCTTGAAAAAAACCCGAAGAAAATACCAAGGAATTAATTGTCACATTTCCCTAACTCTTCCTCTCCAATGACCTTGTAGTATTTGTAACAAACTCAAATGTTTCGGTTTTGAGCATTCAGCAAACAATGGTAAGCCAGCCATTAACTACAGCATTTCAAAACCAAACACCAATAAACTCTCTCATTGGTAGTTAGCATGGTGCCTTGGGAAGTAATGCATAATCCCTCAACCACGCATTCTTTCTGACCAAGTTAACCCAAACTCAGTTTTACAAACCTAGGACCCACTCTGCAACAAGATCCACAGATTCCTCTCCTTTTGTCATGTTTGGAAAAAGCAGGAAGAACCTGAAGGTGTATCAGGTGGAGAGAAGCTCTACTTCTAGGAGCTTCCCCATCCAGTCAACTTCCTGTATTTTGCCAGTAGGCAACCCCAGTTCGATTAAATTCAGCCAAACAGGCACAATACCCAGAGCTAGGAGCCATTAAAAGGGTGAATTGCTGGGTTTGAAGGATTTGCATAGGTACCTCCTGGCCTCCACATAACTGCTATCTCCCACTTGTTCCTATATCAGGGATTATCTTCCTGTTCCCTCCCCAACTTAAACACTCACTTTCCATGTTCCCAAGAAGCATGCTTATCTCTCCAACCCTCTACATGCCCGCTGTCCACTTTCCCAACCTCGTGAGCTTTAGGAGGCTTTTCACACTTTAACTCCCTTTTTCTTGGGAGGGAAAAAAATTTCTCAGTGACAGGCCAGTCTGGCCCTTTTTTCTGCAGAGGGAGAAGGCTGGAACTTTTTTTTTTTTTAAATATGAGCAACAAAATTAGGAATCTTACTGTCTCCTGATTTACTATAGCTTACACTGAGCTTCCTGAAGCCAACACTCTTAAGATGATGTTGCCAAGAAGAAACATTTTATAGTTCAGGTTTTACTGTTCAAAACTGGGGCCCGAAAGTATGAGATCTCTGCTAGGAAAATCCACTAAAGTTAATTTTATCTTTCTACCTTTTTTGGGAGGATGGGTGTTAGAAAATGTCCAAAAAAAAAAAATTACATTCTGAAACTGTTTACCTACTCAGCTTTTAAGTGGGCCCTAACTCAGGAGCCTCTAATCCAAATCATTTTGAGTATTGTAGAAAAATATTATTCCTGCTTCAGATCAAATCTACTACTTTATTTTATTTTTTGTTTTGGAAGGATGGTGCTGGGGAGGCAGGGGGCAGGTTAGAGAAGAGGCCAAAGTTGAGCTTATAGGAAATTGGTTCCTCAACTATGGAGCAACTGCCATTGTTGCAGTGTCAAGCTCCTTTGATCAAAATGGCCCTTCAATATCCGGCTCCAAACTTTTCTCTGCTGGGAATCCAGATCCCCCCATGAAGTACTCAGTAAATGCTATGTTCTAACATTGAGATTTCAGAGGCTGAGATAATTAGTTCCGGATGTGCAGATAAAAGATTTTAGACCATTCTCTAATATTTGTTTGTACTACTCTGCCCAGGACAAAGTGGTAATAAAAAACCCAAATGCTCTTTTTCCTGGGTTTCCTGCCTTTCCTGCTCAGAGTTTTGTATACAATAAAAATCTTCCTTTAAGAAAAGAAAGATATTTGTTCTCTTCCTTCCGATCTTTAGCTTCAGAGGTTTTTGAGTCCATTAACTCATATTTAACACCAGGGCTATTTTCCACTGTTTTTATAGGGACTATATAAAAGTGAAGAGAACAAAAAGCAGCAGTTTCCAAAACAACATACCAGAGTCAAGATGACCTTTTGTTGGTCTATTTACTTTAAGCACAGCTTACCTTAGAGTACTGTTAATTGCTCCCAGTTTGTTAGCTTGTTCACAGTCTTCCAGTTCTTTGGTGTTATTTGCTCTTTTTGAGTACTGTAAGAAAGGTTACATTTAATACACAAACATATTAACTAGAAATGTCCTTTACTTCACCTCTTTCTTAGGGAAGTCAAAGTTGTGCAGTAAATACAAATCTGTTGATATGGAAAACACAAGGATTCTGAGGATGGAAGGTAATCTTGCTCATTTTGGAATCTTCTCCAGAATCAAAGTTTCCTTTTAAAAAAAGCTTAGAACCTTTCCTATGTAATAAAAATCAATGAAGTATTTGCTTGGACATTGTGCAGACACATTGAAATACAGCACCAATGCTGATGTGAACATTCCCTTTCAACTTAAATAGAGCACTAAATTCAAAGACTAGCGTTATGACCACAAGAATACTTACAATTTTAAGTTTGTACAGAACAAGAGCATGATCTGATCTAGGAGGTCATTCATCACTGGAACCTGTCCATCGGCAGGTAAGCACTTGCTGTGACTGAATTTAAGGACATTCCTATAAAGTCCAAATATTTTTGAGTTACGCTGGGGAAAGCACAAGTTGAAAGCATTGATGAATTGGACTCATAGGCTTCTTGACAGTCTTAGCAACGAGAAGCCAGTCATCAAGATAGGGGGAAATGGTGAAGCCACAATGCCTGATGTGGGCTGCTATTACTAAGAAGACCTTAGTAGTGACCCTTGGGGCTGTAGCAAGGCTGAATGGGATCCACACTGTATTGAAAATGGTCAGGGCCCACCAGGAATCTGAGAAAGCATCTGACGGGGTGAATGGCCACGATAAAGTATGTGTCCTACATATCAAGAGCTGAAAACTACACGCTCTTTTCTAGGGATGGGATTATAGATGACAGCATAACCATGTGAAATTCAGTTTGCGAATAAGGCAGTTAAGATGGCAGAAATCAAGGATAGCCCAGCTGTCCTTTTTGGGTACTAGGAAGTATATTGAGTAAAAACCCTTTCCTTAATACTGAAGAGGTAACTGCTCACTTGCCAGGAGTTTATGTTGAAGACCCTGAACTTCCTCAAGGGAGATCTGCAGCTCCTCTGCAACACTATGTAACAGTTCCTGGAACTGCTTATGGTCATCGGGGGGAAGGAGATATTGGAGCAACTATTTATCCAAACATGAGGACAGTCTCGTCAGTACCGCCAGCTCCAGATCCATCTTCCTCTTCCATAGGGTCAGGAGGAATTTCTGGTTGTTCTCTTGCAGGTGAAGGGTGGACAGGTGGATCATGTCGACTCTGCAGAGTGGTACAGGTCCCAGTACCCCAGAGAAGGCCAGGAAGATGGGTCAAAGGGTGGCTGTGGGACTCTCCCTAGCATAGGGTACCAACAGTTCTGAGGGAGGTGCTGAAGTGGAAGTTGGTTCCAGACTGGTCTGGGAAGACATGTTTCAGAGGAGGAGACATCAGTTCTTCAGGTTGTTCAGAGTCTCCAAAAAAAGAAAATATCTAGTCTGTATCTGTTGGCAGCACCAATGGTTCCACTGGAGGGAAACTATGGCTGTCCAATAGAATGGGAGACAGACTCCTCCCACAAGCTGCATCTCCTGATGGAGTCAGTCACCCACCCTCTGGTCTCTGGGTGAGGTCTCGCAGATCCAGAATAGGTCAAAGTCCACCCTTGGCCTTGGGGATAGGAAATATCAGGACTAAAATCCCTTGCCCCTGAACTCCTGAGGAACCTCCTTTATCTCCCCCAGAGTGAGGAGAGATTGCATCTCCTGGAGAAGGAGTTGCTCATGAGCAGGGTCGCTGAAGAGGAACAGGAAAAGTGGGGGGGGGGGAAGGTGGGATGGAACAGAACTGGACAGAATATCCCACCCCTATCGTGCTTAGAACCCAGCGATCTGTTGTGATCTGGGACCAAACACGGTAGAAGTGGGACAGTCAGTTCACAAAGGGAGGGCAAGGATCTCGATTGAGTCCTAGTGCTCCGTCCCTGGGCACCCTTCAAAGGTTAGGTTTCGGTGCTGTGGGCTGTTTGGACCAGCCCTGGCCTTGGCCTGAGGAGGACTGCAACTGGTGCCTCCTATTATTCCTGCTCCTTCTCCTGGCTGAGTCCTGCCTCGGGGGTATGGAGTAGAAGTGGGAGGGAGGCTGCGGTTTGACACCACCTTGACCTCCTCAAGAAGCGCCACAAACTCTGGGTGAGAGTCTGACGGGAGCAATTCCTAGAACTTAGCTAGTACTCTCCAGGAATTGAAGGCGTAGCGGCTGAGCACTGCTTGCTGATTAGCAATGTGAAGCTGGAGCCCCCCCAGTTGAGTAGACTTTACAGCCAAAAAGGTCCAGCTTCTTAGCGTCCCGTGACTTTGGGACAGGACCTGGTTGACCTTGCTGCTCTTTGTGGCTCGCTGCATCCACCACTAATGTTGCAGGTTGACGGTGGGTAAAAAGGTGTTCATACCCCTTCTGCGGCACAAAATACCTCCTTTCCACCTCTTTGGCTGTGGGAGGTATGGAGGCAGGGGTCTACCATAGCACCTTTGTGGTGTTTTGTATGGTCTTTAAGGGGCAAGGCTACCCTAAAGGACCCTCCGGGGCAAGAATGTCCACCATTGGGTCTGAGTCTTCTGGCACCTCCTCAGCCTGGAGGTGTAAGTTTTGGGCCACCCTCCTAAGGTGGTCCTGGTGCGTCCTATTGTCCATCGCAGGGAGTATGGTAGTGGAGGTGCCAGCTACTGCCTCATCCAGAAAAGAGGATGATGAAGCCCATGGGACTGGGTCCTCCTGACCCTCAGGCTCCCTAGAGGCTGGCTTGGATATGTCTGCCCTATTCAAAGCAGACTGTGGTGCTGGCTCGAAAGTTGTACCTGTTTGTGAAGACCCAGGGTCCTTGTCATGTGGGGGTGGGAGTCTTCAAGTGCTGTGGAAGTATGGTGTGGCACCAACATGGCTGAAGGAGGAGCACAGGGCGTGGACACTACAGACGCAGCCCTGGAGCCCCACCCTTGAGCCTGATGATAGGCCCAAGGAATCCAAAAGGGCCACTGTACCAGCATATCCCGCGATCTGTGGTGCCGGGACTGAGACCGGTACCAACTACGTCGGGAGATCAATGACTTATCGGAGTCCAAGGAATAGTCTGAGCCATACCATGGAGGAGCAGAACCCAACGGTGCCAGGGAATGGTAATGCGGCGATGGGGAGCAGCGCCATAGCATTGTTGGCTTGCCCCGGTGTTGAATAGGTGGTGGTACCGACATTGGTGCTGCAGACTGCACCATCACCAGGCCTTGCGCTTCCACCTGGACCAGTGGTCGCGCCTGCAGGGCTGGGGACTGTGCCGTCATGCCAATAAGGTTCTGCATGGCCTCAAAAGGTATCCATCATGGAGGAAAGATCAATCTTGTCCTCCAACTCCTGCCAAGTCAGGGAGTCCACAAGCATCTGAGGGCCAAGCCATGGGTGCCCTGATGTAGGACATACCCCGCTGGGATCCCTATGCTGTTTCCTGGTGGAGGACCAACCTGTCTGCCTTCTTCTTCTTATGTGGCACTCAGGACTGAGAGCGGTACTGCATGCTCGAACCAGCTTTGTGAGCCAGGGAGCGGTGTCAATGCTCCCTGGAGGAGTCTTTTTTCGGTGCTGAAACCGGTGTACCACTTCAGGTGTCGCTGGTGCCACTTCCGGTGCTGGCTGAGGGTGAACAGCCACCTCCATTAAAGAGAGCTTGAGACGACAGTGCCACCCCATCTTCGTCGTGGGTCTAAAGCTCCTGCAAATGGAGCACTTATCTGTTTGATGGCCCTCGCCCAGGCACTTAAGGCATGACGCGTGTGGCTCCCCCTTGGGCATAGGCCTCCCGCAGCATTCGCAGGATTTAAACCCCTGAGATCCAGGCATACCCCAGTCAGGGAAGCTGGGGTGGGGGGGGACCCCCCTGAAATAGGCTAACTAACTACAATTTTCAAGAACTATTTACAACTAATTAGAAGGTAACCACTAGGTAGACACTTGGGAAGCAAGAGACTGAAGGAATCTCCAACGACCGTCACTGGCGGTAAGAAGGAACTGAGCAGGCGGTGGGTCGGCAGTGTCCTATATTCACCGCCATGAGGGTGCCACTCCAGGACTCCACTGCCGACCTGACAGGTACACTAGGGGAAAACCTTCCGACGATCATGCACGTGGCATGCGCATGCACACCTACTGGAATGGAGATGAGCAAGCACTCAAAGAAGAAAAATGTATTTAGAGGGGGTGCTGAGCGCCATTGAACCAAACTGTCAACTTTGTATATGATGGAAACCACTTCAAGCCAGGGGACGCACCAGCACACCCAGCACTCCTAGTTCCAGCACCAATGTCTGATACCAGCAGAGCCCTGGACTTGTGGATTTTCTTAGAATGTCCTAAATCTGAGTCATGACAAGTCCTCATGAGCTGAGCAGAAAGACTTGTTTGACTTCAGTAGCATTGTATCCAACTTTTTTGAAGTGGACTTAGAGGAGGATTTGCTCTCCTGAGAACACTCCTGGCCTTCCCATCAAGACCCCAACAGGGGAATCTGTGGGAGTAAATTCCCTCACTCCTAAATTGGATCTCACAGCAGGAGGCACACTCCTTGCTGAGTCAGGCCAATACACGGGGGAGGGGGGGAGCAGAGGGGAAGGGGATCCCCAGGCCTGGATCCAACTGTTTCTTCATGGCTTTTCCCCATTACGTTTTTCTTAAAATGAAGTTCTCCCCCCTTGACAGGTACACATGGGAAAAAAGCAGCAGATACTGCAGCATGCCACAACATGAGCCTCCCAGAGGCAGCACAAGCAGTGCTGATGGTCGTCACTGACAGAGAAGGAGCATCAGCAAGAAGAACAGATTTTGGAGCCCAGAGTTCTGGACACAGAAGCAGCAGAAGTGCCCTAAAAAGGGGGCAGGGGGCAAAGGTGCCCAAATCATGGCCACACCGCCACACTGTCTCTTCTCCCCAAGGCCCCACTCATGTACCACCTCCTCCCCCACAAGACCCTGGTCCCTGCTCGCTCCTCTCCGCCCCCCACACCCCTGTTCGCTCAC